GGTCTTCTGAAGTGTTTTTAAGCTAATTCGTGGAGGTTTATCCTGCCAAAGGAAGTTGGTAATTGAGGAGTCCAGAGATCTAAACCATTCAGCTGGTGATTTGTTTGGGATCACTGAAAATAATTAATTTATTCTGGGTAAGACCATCATTTTAATTGTAGCAACCCTCCCCATGAGTGATATCGGTAAGGATTTCCATCTTGCAAGATCATCTTCCACTTTCTTTAAAAGTGGGATGTAGTTTAGTTTGGTTAGATCTGTCAACTTCGGAGAGATATTAATTCCCAGCTATGTGATATTCCCTGACTCCAATTGTGTATTAAGTAAATTGACAAAAAAGAAATTAATTGGTAGAACTGTGGATTTTAACCAGTTTATTGAGTAATCTGAAACTCTTGAAAAAGAGTTTATCAGTTCTATTGAATGGGAGAGAGAGGATTGAGAATTCTGGAGAAAGAGTAAAACATCATCTGCATAAAGACTGATCTTATGTTCTATTTTCTTACACTTTATGCCTTTAGTATCTGATGTTTGCGTAATTGCTACTGCTAGTGGTTCGATAAATATAGCAAACAGTGAGGGGGAGAGTGGGCATCAGTTTGAGACTTACTTAGTGTCCAGTTAAATTGCTTATTCATTGTTTGTTTGTAATTACATTGTTAGAGTCTGGGATAACTTTTAAAACATCCTCGCTATGTGCTAGAGCAGTGGCTCCCAGACCCACAAAGATCAGCTGTCAAAACAAGCAACCTCAGATGTCTGATATCAGGCTCATATTCCCTTATATCTATTTATAACCACTCGGTTGAGTTTTGTAGCTTGAAATATAGTGTCTGTAACAGTTTTTTAATTTTATTTTGACAACCATAACTTTGGAAATCACAGGACCTAAGAGGAGCTGCTTTGAAGGTGGAGGGTGGACACATCATTTGAACTGATTCAGAATTTTCTTCTTTCTCGTTTTGTTGTAAATTCATTAGAATTTAATTAGAATTGTGAAATTATTTTGTTCTATTATTCTACTAAGAGCATTTCACCTCACCTTAATACATTTTCACAGCTGGACTGTGACAGAATTATCACTTACACAGCATATACGAACACTTACGGAATTATGAAGAAAATCAACTTGATTTAACAACAAAAATAAAAATAACCAAATATTTATTTACTCTTTCTATGAATCAGGTGTGGTGTTTTCTTTGATTTGGCCACTAGGTGGCAACATAAACTTTATCTTCAAATATTTGGGTTCAGTAAACGTGGAAGCCAATTCATGCCACTCTTATTAAAACAATCGTGTATCTCATAACTATAAGATACACGATTTTTTTTATCAGAGGGGTTCAATCAATGTTGCTAAGTATAAATATCACCCCCAAAAGCTGTAGTTTTATTAATACATAACAGAAATAAACAAAGTCATTCCACATTTAAGAAGCTTAAATTTTACATGTAACTGTTTCAAATCTGAAACTGCTGAGTCATGTTTAGTAAGTAAGTAAATTTTATTTATATAGCACTTATCACAGTCATAGAATCGCAAAGTGCTTCACATAGATCAAAACAAAATAAAACAAAGTCATAAAATCATAATGATCTCAATGCATAAATAGATTAACATCAGAAAATATAAGTCTTAAAATTCTAAAATTTCATAAACAGATGAAAGATTACAAATTAGCATTAAAAATAAGAAAATAAAAGATTTAGGTAAAAGCAGCTTTAAATAAAAGGGCCTTTAGCTGTAATTTAAAAGTGTCCAGACTGCCAATGCTGCCTAAGGATAAAGGAAGATCATTCCAAAGTCAGGGTGCAACAGTCTGGAAGGAGCGATCGCCTCGACTTTTATATCTGGTCTTTGGAACTCCTAGAAGGTTCTGGTGTGCGGACCTGAGGGCTCAGGTTGGAGCACAAGGCTTTAACAGTTCAGTAATCTAGGGAGGAGCTTGACCATGTCGGATTAAAAGTTAATACCTGGAAAGGGGCAGTTAAGCAGGCCTGTTGTTGAATTGATGTGCTCTTCTTCATTGATATTGGTTTGGATATTCTGCATACCAAAACCACATGATGTGTAAACCACATGCAATGCTTCTATAAATAGAAAAAATGAATAAATAAAAAAACAGTGGGAATAAATGATTCAAATTAAAATAGGCAAAGCACCTATACAGAGTTTGTTTTTTGACGCTGGTTAAATGTTTCTTCAGATCTGCATGAACTGAAGGTTACCCTGACATTAAGATTGGTACTACTCTCACTATAATTGGTGAAACACCTGTAACACACCTTTCCTGCAACAATAAATGACTCTCGTGAATACATTCACCCTGAACACGCCTTTTCATTAAAGTTTACTGGCAAAAACGCTGCGTTTTTCATGCTTCAGAGCAGCATTTGAAGCGGGACAGATGTGAATTTATTGGGCCCTGCCACTCACAGCCGCACTTGTCCATTAGTTAAGTGACAGGACAGAGCCCAGAGAAAGCTGCAGCAATACGTGTGATTATGTTAAAAGATCACACAATCTGTTCATATTTACGTAATGAGCTCGACATTTTTCTGATTGATTAAACCACAGGGTGTAAATATTTTAAGGGGCCCCTGATTTATGCTCCAACAAAGCAAAAAGAGGCCAATTTATTTGTGTAACTATGAAAATGGGGATTTCTGGTAACCGCTCAGACATCTCAGGGGTGACTTGAGTGATTCAATAGACAGTGAAACGTTTTTATGGCAAGACACGGGCTCACTATGCATTATTGGCTGAAAAAATGAAAGAAAAAGGGAGCCGTCAGCACTTTTGTCAGCCGGCTGTTGAGAAATCTGACAGCATTATCAGCAGTAATTTACAGAGAGAATTTTAATCAACATGACTGCTGTATTCAGATTAAATTAGAGGAGTAACAGAATCAATGACCTCCATATATTGCTCCGCTGCCTGATCAATTAGCTGTGAGTTTTGTTCCATGTCAGAGAGGCCTTTCATCATGCGGATGACAAGTCACACAACTAAACGAGGTCCTGTTGATTCATATGATTTTTCATCAGCCAAATTAAAAAGTGTCATTTAACAAAGGTTCAGTCTGCAAGCCGGCATTGTAGTCGCTCGTTTTAAATCCAAAACTGTGTATATGGGTTATTTAAGCCACGGCTGCAAAGTCAAAGTTGGTCCAGAATTTTTAAACTTTTATTTTCTTCTTTTCTCTCCTCATTTTCCTCTTCCTGTGACTCACATGTCCTAGCTGCAGGTCTTTATTTGACCCCTTTGCTCCTGTCTGAGGAGATTGGAAGTAAAGAGTCAAACATCTTTTACGTGTTCAGATGAGGAATGCTAGCACCCAAAAGCTGATCTAGATGTTACCCATAACTTCATCAAAAGATGAAAATAGTTAGTGTTGTTTTTTTTTTATTCTTTGTAAAATCCAAATCCAAAATAATGTTTGTGAGATTAGAAAAATAGAGGTGATAATCATGCTAAAATGGTAAGTAAAGTAGAGACAACAACGTTCAGGACTGGTTCTGTTGCAGTTTTTGCTGTTGTGCTTTTTGTATTTTGTTTAACCTTCTAGGCCACCATAACTGTATTTTAACCATAACCGTATTTTATTAATTAACTGAAAATGGACCGCAGGGTGTGTTCCAACTACAGGGGGATCACACTCCTGAGCCTTCCTGGTAAAGTCTATTCAGGAGTTCTGGAGAGGAGGGTCTGTCGGATTGTTGAACCTCAGATTCAGGAGGAGCAATGTGGTTTTCGTCCTGGCCGTGGAACACTGGACCAGTTCTATACCCTTAGGGGGATCCTGGAGGGTGCGTGGGAATTTGCCCAACCAGTCTACATGTGTTTTATGGATTTGGAGAAGGCGTTTAACTGCGTCCCTCAGGGAGCCCTGTGGGAGATACTCCGGGAGTATGGTGTACCAGGCCCTCTGATACGGGCTGTTAGGTCCCTGTATGACCGGTATCAGAGCTTGGTCTGCATTGCCGGCAGTAAGTCGGGCTCGTTCCCAGTGAGAGTTGGACTCCACCAAGGCTGCCCTTCGTCACCGATTCTGTTCATAACCTTTATGGACAGGATTTCTAGGTGCAGCCAAGGTGTGGAGGGCATCCGTTTTGGTGGCCTGAGGATCAGGTCTCTGCTTTTTGCAGATGATGTGGTCCTGTTGGCTTCATCAGAACATGATCTTCAGCTTTTGCTGGAGCGGTTCGCAGCTGAGTGTGAAGCAGCTGGGATGAGAATCAGCTCCTCTAAATCTGAGACCATGGTCTTGATTCGGAAAAGGGTAGAATGCCTTCTCCGGGTCAGGGATGAGGTCCTGCCCCAAGTGGAGGAGTTTAAGTATCTCGGGGTCTTGTTCATGAGTGAGGGAAAACTGGAGCATGAGATCGGTAGGCAGATTGGTGCTGCATCTGCAGTGATGCTGGCGTTGTACCGGTCTGTCGTGGTGAAGAGAGCTGAGTCTGAACGCGAAGCTCTCGATTTACCGGTCGATCTACGTTCCTACCCTCACCTATGGTCATGAGCTTTGGGTAGTGACCGAAAGAACGAGATCGCGGATACCAGCGGCCGAATGATGATGATGGAAATTAAACCTTAAATAGTCAAATTGGCAGAAAAATAAAGTTCTAATACTTACAGATAATTTATCAAAAGGTCAACTAAGCAGTGGCGGCCTGCAGAAAATTGCTGACCAGTGTTCTTTAATGATTCATATTAATGTTCACACAACTATAAATTCACATTATTCAATCAGAAATAACCCAATAAAAATATACAGTTAAAGAGTAAATAATATGAATAAAAAATGTCTTTCCTGCTCACCATTTTCAAAACTTTATCTTCATGATTTTTCTGGTGAAAACAGTAAAAGGTGAATTAAAGTATTTTAAAATTCCACAATATATTTTAAAATAACATTCCAAATTACTGTTTGAAATGTCTTAAAATTTGTGTTCTATGAAAATTATCTGGGGGCTCCACTGCAGTTAAGAGTAAGAAAATATCTCTCACACACACACACACACACACACACACACACACACACACACACACACACACACACACACACACACACACACACACACACACACACACACACACACACACACACACACACACACACACACACACACACACACACACACACACACACACACACACACACACACACACACACACACACACACACACACACACACACACACACACACACACACACACACACAGAATCCTGTTAAAACGCTCAGCTGCTGCTGCCCTGCGCGTCTCGTCACCATCAGGATTTTGATTGCTTGACTTTCTGTTCATTAGCTTAATTATCTGGCTATCAGTACCCCCCCCCCCCCCCTCAGTGATTAATATCTGAGAGCTTTGGTTGTAAATTAAAATTGTGAAATGAAAAATGCATTGGTTTGCTTTACAACATCAGGAAGCAGCTCAAAGGGGGCGTAAAACCGACGTTATTAATAAATCCACAAACAAGTCTTTTATTGAGATTCCAACAACCACATGGCCACATTTCTTCTTCTTATCAGGACACAAAAAGCTGATGAGCAGATGTTTCCTCCTGGAGCCCAAAAGATACTGGACTCCACCTCCATGTGGGCCCTGTGGCTGTGCAGGTCAAGGAAGGGACTCCTCTTTAGTCTGCTTCACTTTAGGGACAAGCCTATGTGTTCTCGTTCATGTGTTCACTGTTCATTCATTCAGTGACATGAAAAATCATGATGGTTTTCATGTAAGAAGCATATTAAAAATTAGTGTGGTTATAATTTGTTGCTTTTACATTTTTTATTTCACAGCTGAACCACAAATAAGTTTCAGATAAATACATGAATAATATTTTTTTCAGTCATTCAAATAAATTAAGTCCATCACTTGCCATATAAACCACAGGAACAAATTCCTAAACTTTATGAAGGACACAAAAACAAGTATATTTACAAGTGATGCACCAAATTAAAGGCAACACGCTACAGATTTTCTACCAGAAACCATCAGATGTGTCAGTGCTCAGTCTCATGATGCTGCTGTCACTCGTCATCATCACTTGTCTTAATTCACATTCTTTGCTTAAAGAACGTTTGAGAGCCGGAGCTCCGGCTGGCAGCAGATAGAACAAACACAACGTTGTTGAAAAAAGCCGATATTCATGACAACAGTCTCGTTTCGTTGCTGCATGCTGAGTTTAAACGTGGGTTATTGGCCAGTGTGTGTTTTTATCAGTGGTTTCATCAGAAAAGTTCCTGACCTTTTTCTCCCAGACAAATGTTCAGATTTGGAAATCATCTTTTCAAGTAAACACGTGTTTGACCACATTTGTGGAGTGAAGCTTCTGGCACGTGTAACCAGGATATCGTTTCACAGACTTGCACCGATCTTCCTCTCTCCTCCTCCCAGTTGAACCCCCTCCAGCTCGTCATCGGAGAACGGGCTGTGGGAGTCGTAGCCCAGCTTACTGCTGTGCTGCAAGAAGTCTGTGGACCGAGGCATTTTGATCCTGTTACTCATAGAAAGAGAAAACCCATGTTGGGGTTCCTCCTCTTCTTCCTCCATCTCTTCTTCCTCATCCTCTACCTCCTCTCCATCCTCCAAGGCAAAATCTGCCCCTCTGCTGTCTGGATTCACACCTCGTCTACCGTCATCGGATTTGTCGGAGGCTGTCTTCCCTCCGCTGCGTAGCCGCTCTTTTTCAGCCTGGTTGGAGGTGGAAGCCTGCTCCTTGGCCTTCCGGCTGCGCTTCCACTTCATCCTCCGATTCTGAAACCAGATCTTCACCTGCAAACAGAAGGCACAACACAAATGTGTTCAATGTAGAGCCATGAGATTTATTTTCCATTGCAATGACATTTGCATCCCCAGTTGACTCGAATCTTCCCGAGGTAATAGTTTGCATCTTATGTTGAAAGAAAATCTAATCTGATGTATTATTCTCTTTGGCAGAAACATAGAGAAAATAATTTTAATTGGTGAATCTTATGAAAAAGAGCACAAACCTAAAATCTTGATTATTTTAGAGGCCTGCTATTTGTTGCTGTCTATGAATGAAAATGTCAAAGATATCAGAATTATTTAGAAGTACCAACAAAATGAGGCTCATCTTTGATAAACACACAAACATGTTTGATGTGTGTGAATATTTGACTACACGTTTTATCATTTATAACAGTCAAAGATGGATCAAAGAGCAAAACTTTGCTAGTCAAATAAAGGTAAGAAACTCCGACTTCTGGGACTTATCCACTTAGTAAGGTTAACGTCTAACTAGATCACACATCAATGTCAGAAAAGAAGAGTTTTTAAGAAATCTCGTTTAGATCAACCTTTCACTGTGGAGCCTGCAGGAACTACCTGTGTTTCAGTCAGCATGAGGGAGGTGGCCACCTCGAAGCGTTTGGGCCGGGACAGGTATTTGTTGAGTTTGAACTGGTTCTCCAGCTCCAGCAGCTGCTGGCTGGTGAAAGCGGTGCGAGGCCTTCTGCATTTCCCCAACAGGCCGGACTGAGGGCCCGCTGCAAGAGGAAGAGCAAAAAAAAAAAAAAAAAAAAAAAGATCTGCTATTTCTCATTTCATCGTAAAACCTCTAAACATATCTGGTGCAGTTTGTTTCATGCAAAGGGACTGCATACTTTGTTGAAGTTTTAATGAACTACCAGCTGAAAACCACTTGGTTATAGACTAGCTGTGTTTATAAAACACCAAGGACACGAGAAGTTCACCGTGATGCTGTGGGTGGGAACAGAGACACATATGCCAGCACTCTCTGGCCATCATTAACTATAATAGCTTTACTCCAGTTTATTGTTGACGGAGGGACATGGCGCAGAGGCCATAAAAACACAGGCATGCCATTAACTTAATGAAAATTCAATGAAGGCTTTTGGGCTTTTATTGATGAACTACAGTACGTTTTAGGTGTTTGTTTATTGTTATTTCGTCACACAAAGACAATTTCCATCTTGTTGGCGTTTATGGATGTATAAATGAGTCAAAATTAAAATATGACACAGATAAGCAGTAAAACTGATGCTGTGAGGGACAATGACAGGAACTCCTTGAAGTAAATATTACACAAAGGAACTGAAAAGGTTTGTACTGCAATGGTAAAACCAAAGAGAAATACAAAAAGTAATAAAGGAAACAATTATTGGTGTTTTTTAATTAATTTTAAATGAGGAAAGAAGGAGTAGATGGGCTAATCTTAACTTTTGTGTCAATCATTTGTTTATGGGGCTAAACTGGCAGTGCAAGTGTAGTCAATGTGTAAAGAAAATAATAACGAAGACAAGCTATTATTGTTATATTATTATTAATAATAATAAATATTGTAATAGGGTAAAATCGTAAACATACTATATGAACAACTTAATAATAATAATAATAATAATAATAATAATAATAATAATAATAATAATAATAATAATAATTTAATGATAATAAAATATTGAAATATGGTAAAATCGTAAACATACGAACAATTTAATAACAACAACAACAACAACAATAATAATAATAATAATAATAATAATAATAATAATAATAATAATAATAATAATAATTAATAATCGTTTTTTAATCCTTATTTCCTTTGTCCTATAGCTGTTTTTGAAACTCTGCATTTTACAGCACTTCATCATGTCCCAGTTTTCTTCCAGACTTTGGATGTTTAGTAAAATAATCTCAGCCGATATGATGTACTCACAGCTGTAATCCGGCATCCGCGGTATCATGATGCCGGCACGGATCCAGTGCTCCAGGGGCAGGGATCCCGTCATGGCAGCCGCCTTCAGGTGGTCTGGGTAGGTCTGCGTGAGCTGCGTGAAGCCGGTGTAGGCGAAAGCGGGATGCCCGCCCAGAGCCGTCAGAGGGTACGGAGCGGGGTACATACCGGGGATTGCACCCTGAGGCAGAGAGGCAAGTCCTGGATGGGGGAGATTTAGCACACTTGGTTTGGGGATTACTCCGGTGTGAAGTTGTGCGCTCCGCGGGGAGGGGGAATCCGCGCGGCGGCACGAAACCGGGCTGCCGGGGCTGTCGCTGCCCAGACCCGGTGAGAGCTCCCGGCCACCGCGGTTGGTCTCATCAGCAAGCAGAGCGTCAATTCTGAAGTTTTTCGATTTTTCCATGACAGCTTCGGTTAAAGAAGAATTTTGAATAAACACACACAGAAGGCGCACACCTGTTGCGTCAGCGCGCAAACTATCTTTGCCTTTTCATTAAAAACGCGCACTACTGGAGCATCGGTTAGGCGCAGACTCAATGCAACTCGCATTCCTCCATCGTTTTCCTCGAAGTGCACCTCGACAGTAACCGAGGTGTGTGTGTGTGTGTGTGTGTGTGTGTGTGTGTGTGTGTGTGTGTGTGTGTGTGTGTGTGTGCCTCTCCGTCAGCATCCACCTCTGGAGGCCGCTGCGCGCTGGGATTGGCTGGAGGCTGAACTGCTCTGACGGGCCTCTAATCAGCTAATTACTCGCTCGTTTCTCCCTCCAGAAAACATTCAGAGTGAGGTAATGTCCAACCCTTGTCCTGCCTGCAAACACCTTCAGCTGCATCAAAGCGCAGCCGAGGAATATTAGAAGTTTGAACAATTGTGTTTTCACTCTCTTATCTGCAGCAGAGATAACAGCAGACAGACAACTCTTTGATGTCAAACGCCTCAAAACGCCTTCTGACTTTTAAAATAGTGGCTCCGGGTCGTTTAGAAATCAATCTGCTCATCATTTACATTTTAATATGAATTCTCATACTAAGGGCACACCAGCGCCATTAAAGTTTACGAGCAAGAATTGCACACAAACCATATAAAAGTGTAATGAGTTGGCAGATGAGGCTATAAGTTAATTGGCTCTATGCTTAATGTGGACTAATGCTGTTTTAAGACCCGGAAAAGCCGGAGGGCAGCAGTACATCTGAACCAGCGATAAAATAAAATATTTTAAAAATATACATTTATTCATGTTTTTGGTTTCTGATTTCACATTTTCTTTAAAAAGCACCACACCGCAGTTTTTGTTGAGCAAACTTCGTCTAATTTCCTCTATCACTAAATTACCCACGTTTTTGAATTAACAAAGGCAAGTGTGTGTAAAAAAACACCTTCAGAGTAAAAGACACTTTCTGAAAACATGTTTCATATAAATAAATAAATACATAAGCGATTCCACAGATTGATTTTTTTCTTCTTGAGCCATAAGCAGCACCTGGATTTGTGGTTTAGATGATGTGCAACATTTGGCGACCTCCAGCTGATTGAAGCGCTGTTGCGGTCCGCCCACCTTCTCCTCCACCTGCTTGTCTCTCATCTCTTTATCTCACCTGTCACCCTCCCGCGTTGATAAAGAACTTTGCTTCAGAGAAATCTGTCTTTTGCCTCCACAGCCTCGTTTTCTTGTTTTTATTATTTGAGGGTAATTTAAATGTAGCCAGGCCTGAGGGAGCCTGTTGGGGCTCAGATTAAATTGAATTGAAGCCTCCAGTGCCTGCTGCTTTAGATTTATTGCACGTGCTGTATTATTGTATTTTTATTTTAAAGTCAATGATTATTACAGCAGAAGTTTTTCCATATATTTAAGGGCCTTAGACTCGTCAGACTTAAATAATATTTAAAATTATATTTATTTAAATAAAATGATTATAAACCTCTATTATAAACATTTTCAGAATAATTGCCATTAAAAGATGGTGCTTTGTAAAAATTTGTTCATTTATCTTAAAGACATGCAACTTCATGACTAATCAATCGTTAAAACATATTTACTAATCTGCAAACCAACCAACTTCAGCGTGCCCCACGTGTGCTTAACAAACAGTAACGGATGTGGTTGCACACTGACTGATGAAAAGATATATCATTTTATTTTCCACAATAACAGTGACAGAAAATCTGTTGCAAAATTCTTTTTCAGCGTTTGTTGCTTCAGTCGTTTTGACTTTGATTGAACAGATGCTTGTTTCTGTTTGTTTCTCTTGGCAACAGTTTAGTTAGGGATTGAAAGCTGTGTCTCCCTTTTTCTTCACAGCAAAACGATCACCTGGATTATAATAAAAGCTTTGAAAATCTTTTAATTTGGATCTAATTTGACGTGAATCTACTTTGCCTCCTTTTCATTCTTTCTGTCTCATTAACACCTCCAACACACACACACACACACACACACACGCACGCACGCACGCACGCACGCACGCACACACACACACACACACACACACACACACACACACACACACCCTGGCCACCTTTCACATTGTGAGAGGACAATCAGTTCAAAGAAGCCGCGTTGAGTTTATCGAGGAGTTATACGTCAGTAAAGTCAGTGGCCAACCGGAGTTTACTGAAACATTACAGAGCTTATCAGTAATTACAGGCATATTTTTCAATCATTACCATGGCTCTGAGGCAGCGTGCCCCAAACCAGGTCTGCTCTGATGTTCTCTGGTCTTTCCACTGGTCACAGTTTCCCACTGATTCTAGGTAACTGATAGGAAATGAGCTGAAGATTTGACACAAAAGACCTGAAACTTTAAATAAGAAGAAAAATGAAGTCAATCTTCAGACAAACTGACTGATTTATATTTTACTGATTCACTGCTTGGCGGTTGGACGGTGTGTGTGCTCATTCCTGTGACTTTATTTCCTCCCTGCGTGTTGTGACACATAAAGCTTTCATGAACCCTGCCGTCCAGCTTTCCCAGCATGTCCTACAGCCACAGCACTGGGCTTCAGCAGTGATAAATGATCTGAGTGCACAATGGGTTTTCTGTGATGTGAACATCAGCTCTCCATACTCCTGGCAATTAGACTAATTCCCACAGAGCTAAACGTGTGATAAATCAGCTTGCTTTCTGCCAGACCTTGGGACCAAAATTAGCGTTGTCTCATTATTGAGATAAAGTGTAATTTATTAGAGTTTTACTTCTCTTTTCAGTCCCACCTTGTCCTCAACATTTATTAACCAATATTGAGCTATGCCATATGACATCTAGCCCACTGGACATGAATCTCTGTCTGCTTCTTTGGACCTTTCCCACTCCCCTCTCGTCAGACGAGCTTGGGCATTTCCATGAGCTGCAGGCAGAGAAAGGGTAAACGGCTGCTTTTAATCACAAGTAGCAACAACCAAGTGCAGCTGGGGGCATGAGGTATCTTTAGAAAGGTTGGACAAAAAATATGGATTAGTGCGAAAACCTTTACATTTTTTATTATCTCTGCTAGAAAATACAGCACAAAATTGTTGTGATCCTTATAGTGGCAGAACATTGTTTATTTACAAGTAAAAACAGTGCGTTGAGCTTCTATAAACCTTTTTAGGGCTCATAACTGACCCAGGAGCCCTGATAAATGTCCAAATTAAAATCCATGAATAAGCTTTACAATGAAAATGTGCAAGTATGTGTGTGTGTACAATAGGATTAAAACTGGCATATTCACTAATTTCCTGAAGACTGATGGGCCTTATTAGGACCAAAACCCAGTCCAGTAGACCCCCTGTTTCACGCTTCGGGGTGAGGTTTAGCAGCAGTGTTGGGAAAGTTATTTTTTAAAAGTAATTAGTTATAGTTACTAATTACTTTGTCAAAAAAAGTAACTCAGTTACTAACTGAGTTACGAGATTATAAAAGTAACTAATTACCAAGAAAAATAACTACTTAGTTGCTTTTTTCATTAAAGAATGCAAGAAAAATGGGTTAATTGAACTTTCTTAATTTACAATAAATTACTACAATAGTAAAATATAAATGACTAATGACTGGAACATAATAAAATGTATGTCCAAATGTTATTATAAACCTTAATAATTTAAATAAATAAGCACTTAACAGGAGGACCTTCTAACAGTACACTTATCTAGACTATTAAAAGGTCACTGTGTGGTATTTAACAAGACCCCAATCAGCTAAAATTTAAAATTGCAAATAGAAACACCTGTAAAGGTTCCCGAGCCTTTAAATGGTCTCTCAGTCTAGTTAAATTACAGAAATTAATGTAATTTTGCACAGCATTTTTTCCAGCTTCACATAATTGTGTGTTTTAGTAGCATTTCTGTTGCTGCTAATCTAGTAATTGTTAAATAAATAAATAAATCCTTTAAAATGAAACTAGAAGAGGCACAAGCCTGATGGAGGACTTACATTTACTTACTTGGGTCAGACCCAAACACAGAAGAGCTGAAGCTGGGTGGTAAACACACACAGGTAGTTCTGATAACACCTGAGCTCCATGATGTCTGAGACTGATGCATCAGTGTTACAGTGGGACTAAACATGATCAGAAACAGGTTACAGCTGGATGATCTAGGAAAGTAGAAGATCGTGACGTCTGAGCGGTGAACAGGTGAGCGGACCTTCAGGACGTCCCGCTGTCACGCTAAGGGCACGGCTGCAGATCCACACCTGCAGCCGTAGACCATTCATCACATCTTCCTCGTTCTTCACGGGCCGTGATGCACTTGGATGAAAACATCTACCTCTTTAGCTCATGATCAGCTGATGACAGCTTCAACACACCACACTGCTTAATGCACGCATTTTCTTATCAGTAACAGAAATGACGTTTTGATAAAAGAAGACAGTAATTAATTAGATTGCTTGTTACTGAAAAAAATATTTTTTTTAGTAACGCGGTTATTTAAAATTATGATTATTCCCATCACTGCTCTGTTGTGTGTACAGCATGCAGTGACAGAGACAGTGAGAACACTAAGAGTCTCCGCCCACCCGGCCAATCATCATCGTGTTTGTAAGTGTGTTACTGACACCTCTCTTTCCCTGGCTGCAGCTGAAGTGTGGCGGCCAGAAAGCCTCACACTGTTGCTCAGCGTTCGACAAGCACATAGTAACGCACGACTTTCTGTCCCCAGTAACGGTAACGGTGTTGCAACGGCGGGAAAAGTAATTAGATTACCCAAAAAAAGAACGTCGTTAGTAACGCCGTTATTTTACATGGCGTTATTCCCATCACTGTTTGGCAGTAAAATGTGAATTGAGTTTTTGTAGTTTCTCATCTCGTCTAGTCTTCTTCTGCCTATCCGGGTCCGGGTCGCGGGGGCAGCATCCCAACTAGGGAGTTCCAGAACATCCTCCACCAGCTCCTCCGGGAGGACCCCAAGGCGTTCCCTGGCTAGTTCGGAGATGTATTTTCTGCAACGTGTCCTGGGTCGACCAGGGGGCCTTCTGCCAGCAGGACATGCCTGAAACACCTCCCTGGGGATGCGTCCATGAAGGCATCCTAACAAGATGCCCAAACCATCTCAACTGACTCCTTTCAATATGGAGGAGCAGCAGCTCTACTCCGAGTCTCTCCCGAATGTCAGAGATCCTCATCCTATCTCTAAGGCTGAGCCCAGCCACCCCGCGGAGAAAACTAGTTTTGGCCGCTTGTATCCGCAATCTTGTTTTTTCGGTCATTACCCAAATGAATTGTTACAGTTAGGTTTAGGAATACACTGAGTATGGTTAGGGTAAGGATTTGGGTTAAACAAATGCAGTTACTGAAATAAATGGAAGTCAACACAAAGTCTTAATAGAAAAACAAACATGTGTGTGTGTGTGTGTGTGTGTGTGTGTGTGTGTGTGTGTGGGAGGGAGGGAGAGAGGGGGGCTTGAGAATGTGTAGGGAAGAAGGAGGAACGAGGACGTTGTCTTTCCAGCTGTTGAAGGGGTAAGTGCTAAGGAAGCCACTGTCATTGGTGTCATTGGTGGAGTGGTTGTTTGATGATAAACATGAAAGTAAATGTCCAAGAAAATCCTGGAAAGTTAGTTCTTCAACAACCTTCTGTGTTTTCCTTGCATCCACAAGGACAATGGCAGTTTCTCGGCCTAGCATTAGCAGTAGCTCAGGGTACCAATTGCACAGACTGTGGAGACAGCAGTAGCTCAGGCTGGGGCGTTAGCTGTAGCTCAGCCTATGGTGATGGCAGTGGTTCCGGCTAGGGTGATAGCAGGAGCTCAGGCTGGTGTTTGTAGTAGCTCAAGTTGGTGTTTGCAGTAGTTTGGTCTACTTGTCCTGTGGTTACCATTACCCTGTCCAGCGTTTATATATTGCTGACGGTTAAGTGGGTTGGAACCATCGACATAAATAGACTGGACATCTCCTTTCCATAGGCTCCAATATCACGTTTTTGTACTAAAATGGGAGGTGGCCACCACCGCCATTTTGACCGTGTCACAGGTTCCGTCAAGCCCAGACAATTCCAAAAAAGGGAAGAGAGGTGGAGCTGAGGGTGGGGCTGTATGGCTGGGATCAACTGACGACACCCGGTCGAACTAGCTACAAGCTAACCCAAAGCTAATGCGGAGGTGGGAGCTAAGCTAACAGAGGTAGCAACCTAACTACAACCAGAGTTAACTGCACAACACCAGAGCTTCTGAGTCAGAGATACGCCGGGCTGACCGCTGGGTAAAACCGGGTGGAACACAGAGGTCAGACAGAGATGCACCGGGCTGCGGGGAGGGGAGAATGGGTGGAAAACATCGGTCTCTCGAGAGTTCCACAAGCCGACAGTCGGAACCCAGCTCCACCAACATGTTATATTTCAACCCTCTTTCTAAAGTGCAGCATTATGTTAAATGCACTGGGTTTTACCCTATTCAATTTACATTTCATGGTTAAACAGTACATGTTAAAATCTAAGCTCAGCTCGGCAGTGACCTAAAATACATAAATATAATTTTACTTACCAAAAAAATGAAGTGGAGCCTCCTTGGACACTCTATTAGTGCAATTAATGCCACAGCAAGTCATTTTGTCCAACAATTGCACAAATAATATCCAAAAAAGAATACACAAACACAGAGACTCAAAATCCCGGAACAGTTTCCAAGCCAGACCGAGGCTCTACTGAGGCCTTTCCACGGAGCGAGCTCTGCGGTCACGTGGGTCTGAGGCGGCGGTCACGTGGGTCTGATGCTCATTATACAGAATTTTAGGCTTTTAATACACTTAAACAGAAGAGTGAGAAAAAAATTCACCCCCCTCAGAGTTGTCATGAGTGTAACTAGATCATTTAAACAAAAAACATGTTTTGGTAGCAGGCTGTAAACATGTTTATTTCTGCTGTGAAATTGGTATTTTTAACATGGGAGTCAATGAGTATTTGCTCGCTTCTGACACCAGCCCTCAGCGGATGAGGGTGGAACTGCAATTTTAGGTACTTCCGGGTTGGGCCCAATTTTAGAGCAGCATTGTGGGGGCTTGGTTGGAACGTGCAGATGTAAACAGGCGTGGATTTCTTATTACATGTTGACATAAGCTTTTCTGTGAACCAACTGTCTTTCCCTTGCCTTTTCAAGATGACAAATTTAAATTGAAAGCAGCTAAGCTACAGCTCTGACTTTTTGGTATGCTACATTTTACCACCCAGGCACCCTGTATTTAAAAGTGTGTTTTTGTCATGATCCCGAATGAGTGACTCTTAAGCAGACACAGCACACTCAGACTCAGAAACAAGTTTTACTTAAAACAGTTTATTTTCTTCTGGACCAGAGGAATCGAGAGACTAAGAGGAAGCAAGGATTCGAGGAGGATCGCCACTGGAAAAGGTAGGTATGGTAAGTATATTTAGAACTAAACTGAACGTTCTTTAGCAGGATTAATTGGAATCAATAACTCACTGGAGCTGCTGAGGGACCGGTCCTGAGAGAGAGGCAAGTATTCAGGATGGTTGAAGGTTGTGAGTTGTGCGGTGGGTTTGTGGTGTTTTCGTTCCACAGGAGAGCTGAGCGGCTTGGCAGAATCCAGTGCTGGAGCTATTGCAGCGGTGGAGAGAGGAGTGGCCACACCCGGGGAGACGGACACCCAAACCAGTGAAGACCTGGAGTAGAGAACTTGAATGTATGAACCGACAAGGAACTTCCTAGGTCTTCAAAGATGCGGAAGAGATTGCTGCGAGGAACAGAAAGAATCACAGGTAAGTACTTGGCACAAAGGGAATCATAACTAGAGAGCATGTGGTCAGTTTACCACTCCATAAACAGAATCAGCTGATGTCCATCTGGTGGCTCCAATCCTCCTAAGTACTGCTGCCTTGATGAGGTAATTGGCTCCAGCTGGGATCACTCAGCACCTGGGAAAGGAGAGGAACAGCTCCACCTGCTGGATCCTGATACTACCCCACCTTAACGGTCGCCCCCAGGCGGCCGACCCGAAGAGGAGGCAGACTGCCTCTCAAAGTTAGTGATGAGATCAGGGTCCCTGATAACGGACTGGGGAACCCATGAGCGCTCCTCGGGACCATAACCCGTCCAATCCACCGAATACTGGAGGCCTTAGCCTCAACGACGGAAGTCCAGGATACGGTGCACGGAGAACATAGGGCCTCCATCCACCATCCGAGGTGGTGGAGGAGGGTCAGGTGAGGGACACAAGGGACTAGAAGACACGGGTTGGATCCGGGAGACATGGAACACAGGGTGGACAGGAAGGGACGTGGGAAGTCACAGGCGAATGGTCAAGGGGCTCAGAATGGCTATGATGGGAAAGGGCCCAAAAAACTTGGGTCGACCACTCAGCACCTGGGAAAGGAGAGAAACAGCTCCACCTGCTGGATCCTGACAGTTTCACTTTCTTAATCAATACATTTGCAGCGGTCTTTAGTAGGAATGATTGCTTTGTAAGTCTAAACTCAGGTGGTGGTGGTGGGGGGTGGGGTGGTGGTGGTGGTGGTGGTGGTGGGGGGTGGGTGGGTGGGGGGGGTGGGGGGGGGGGGTTGGAATCACCGGTGCACCTGTTTCAGGAACTAGATTTGAGCCCAATCACAGCTGAGCTTCAAACAACAGGATTTGGAGTCTTATTTCCTGATATTTGGACATCTCACCTCTGATTAGCTAACAGCAACACAACTCTACCACTGACTCCATTTGCCTTGCAACATTGGTGTTTTATCTCCACAAATAACACAAGCCTAGAGGAGTTTTGCTATTAATGAGAAGTTCTCTACTGTTTTCAGGACGCTAAACCACCGACAGTCTTCCCCATCGTGAGTGAAAAGGTGTAGGAGTCTATTTTCGTGTTCAGCCTGCATGAAAAACTCAGGCACGGATTAAGCCTAGTGGCATGAGTGTCCACCCTGGGACTGTGAGATTGGGGTTTCAAATCCCGGTTGGTCATGCCAAAGACTTCATGGGACCCAATGCTTCCCCGCTTGACACTCAGCTTTAAGGAGTTGGATTGGGGGGTTAAACCACCAAATAGTTCCTGAGGGCTGCCACTGCTGCATCTCACCGCTCCCCACGGAGATAGGTCAAATGCGGAAATGTAATTTTCCCAGTGTGTGAAGATGACTAATTGGACTTTAGCTAAAATCAGAGGTAGGATAGTGTTCCACAGAACACTCCAAGATGAGACAAACCTTGTCCTAACTTTTGAGTCCTGATCACTTATCTAAGCTGACCAGTGCTGTCATGTTGTTTGATCTTCAGTCATTAATGACAGCTTAATAAAGATTTCACATCCCATAAACCAGGAGGAATGGAGAACAAATGCAACTGTCTGGGTTCAGAGTCTAAATTCAGGAATTCCAACCTCGTAATAGCTTACCTGTTTCCTTTTCTCTCCCCAGGTGGAAACAAAAGCGTCTTTTCAACATTATCCAGTCCAGTGTGACTTTTATAACCATTTAATGGGTCCTTCTATTTAACAGCCCCACATTTTACTGTCGCCATACAAGAGCCCCATTGTGCTTAGATATGATAGATAGGAGATAAAAACACTTTATCAGCCACAACAAGGCCTCATTACTTTCACCCTCTTATCTTACTGTTCCTCTCCCTCGTGCATTATCTGGCCACTTATGAGGATATTCAAAGACATCAAGTGCTTTGAAGTTCTCCGTCTTCGGTTGAGTGTTTACGGTCTACTCTCTGTTCTCCCCTCTTTACAGATAAACTTTGAATCAACTCTACAGCATGCTATAAACTGAGTACATTTCCCACCACTGTGAGCTGTATCTTTTGGTCTAAAATTGCATCTAAATTTGCACATAATTGCCACTTTGCGGATATTGTTAATGGTTCATGATAGCTAGTCTTTAGAAGAAAATACCTGCTGTCAATAGCGCTCAGGTAATGTCATCACTCTGCCTAGTTTACCTGTGATTTACAAGTTAAATGGCTAAAAGGCTTTTGTCAAAACTTTCGATCCCCTTTTATCCAACATATTTTCTCCAAGCAAATCAAATAAATAAATCACACATAATAAAAAATGAAATAAATCTTTTAATTGGTATCTGGAACACAGTGTGAACTCTTCTATGCCTCTGATAGAACTATGGAACGGCTCATTACCTGTTAGCTCAGGCTGAACCGGTCCCAGCTCTTGAATGTTTCCCAAAACTCAGCACATCATCAGTGAACCAGAAAGCAAACAGAAAATCACAAACAGTCCTAATCTCACTGAACTGCACCAACTAAACTAAGTGGCAATAAACTGGAGCTATTGATTCATAAAAGGACAAGTAATGAAGTTAACACGGAGTTTACAAATTACATAAAAAAGACGTGTTGGAGCATTTCATAAATTAAAAAATTTATTTACGGTGCACTCTGCATCTAATTTGCTGATCTCTGACTGAATTACAGTGTTGCAACCAAGGATATGGATTTAAAATAATGGCGGTTCTAGGGGCGGGGCCACAGATGCATTGGCCCCTGTTGAAATCTGATTGACTCCCTGAAGTTCCCCTGATTTGTCACTCTTCATTGTAGGTGGCAGTTCCAAATCTAAACACTAGAGGTGCTAATTTCCAGAATAAAACCTTGTGTGTGGAATTCTTGGCCCCTCTATAAATACTGTGGCCCCTTCATGTCCCCGTACTCAAAACATTCCTAGATCTGCCCCTGGTCTCAACATCTGCCCTAACAATATAAGGAGACTGGATTAAATGAAATACATTAATAAGAACATTCTGCTGATAATATTACATTTGAAATAATGATGTTTCATCTGTAAAGGGATATCTAACTAGAATTTTACAAAAAAAATTTTTTAACTTTGAGCACTTCTTAAAAAAATAAACAGCTTTATCAGATCTGTGCTGATGTCCTACTGGGAAATAGCAGATTCACAACTGCATATTTTATCCTTATGAATAAACTAATTAAACTCTCCTAAAATGATCTCATATAAATTAAGAATTTACTCATCATTTGGAAGATTATATACGGTTTGACATCATGAAAGGTGAAGAATTTGTCCTTCTTGTGTCTTTAGGTGACAAGCCGAATAAAAATGAATTAGACCACCTTAAAGATTGAGCTGTTGTTTATTAGGAGGAGTGGCCACCCATTCAAACCAATTAGCACCCTGACAGAGAGGGATGGGCTCCATGACCTCTCCACCTTGGTGCACACAAACACAATAAACATCATGATGGGAGAGCAAAGAAAAGATGAGCAAATAACAGACATTATTCAAAACTGTGTCTGGTTTGAAAATGGAATGCAGAAGGTTAATTCTTTGATTCATGACGCATTTTGTGACTTCAACAGAGCTGTCATAGTTAAAACCTTTTAAAACTTACAAGTTTTAGCCATCCCAAATTCTGATCTTTATTAGGCTATTACGTTTAAATACTGTCTAGAATATTCTAAAAGAATAAAAGGTATTGTGTGAAATAGCTCATCTTATTATTACCAATATTTAATTAAAACACATTAATCTTAAATTCACAACATAAATGTACTTTTTGCCATTCCCTTTAGATAAGTGATTGAACCTGTGCGGCTACATGTATTTGTCTAATTATTTTTCTGTTATTATTTGCATTATTTTGATCATATATTTCTTCATATTTGGAATAAAAAGTATTGCTAATGTGATATCTGTTATTACTACAATAATCCAAGCTGTTGATGAACCTATGATCATGCTTGTTTAAGGTAAAAAAAGAAGAATAATGATTTTTTAATTTCATTTAGGACCAGGAATAACCGAGCACTTCGCTCTCAGACTGCAGGTTTACTGGTGGTTCCCAGAATATCTAAAATTAGGATGGGAGGCAGATCTTTTAGTTATCAGGCTCCTCTCCTGTGGAACCAGCTCCCAGCCTTAGTCCGTGAGGCAGACACCTTGTCTAATTTTAAGACTAGGCTTAAAACATTTTTATTTGATAGGGCCTGTGGTTAAAATCTGATGTTAGCCTGGATCTGGATAAGTGGGGGAGCAGAGGGAGGTGGAGTGTACAGTTGGTAAAGACGGCTCTCCCTTGCCCTGCCTCCAACATGCCTCCATCTAAAAAGGCTAGGTTATCCAGAGTTATCTCTGTAGTTACCGTAAATCCTCTAATACAGGCCCGGGCCTGTATTTGACTCAAGTTCATCAAGCTCCAGGCCTTTATTGGAAGGAGGGCCAGTATTAGAGGCAGGCCTCTATTTCTATTTGAGCAAAATCAACTAATGGTTCGCTGGAGTTTTTGACAATTAAAATTGCGCCCACATTTTCAAAGTTAAACACATTTCTTTTAACAACGGTAGTTTCTGCTTCAGCCCTCTCCCCCCTCCCCCTGCGCAGCGGCCGCAAACTCACTGATGCGCCTGCAGCCTCTCGGAGTTCCTGCTGCTCTAAACATTAAAATAATTATTTAATTTTCTGTTCCTCACTTCTGATTACCTTCAATGGTGTCTGTTTGTTGCAACCAGCAGGTACAAAAACTAACTTGTTTTTATTTGACTATTTTTCTGTCCTGTCTGTTTATTATCTTCCTGCATCTCCTCTCAATCCTAAAGAGAAACTGCTACCTGGGTTCATATATATTCACCTTATGAGTTACCTTTGAACTGCAGTTCTAAAAGATCTACCGACCGCAAAAACAGCGGAGTGCTCGCTGCTTGCCGGCCGCATCAGTGATCGGTGCGTCACCGGATGACAAGTTGATGCGCCCCGCTCCACAGCGAAACGCATCAGGCGCAAATAAAAAACAGAAAACATCAAAGGAAATGAACCGACATGAACGATCGCGTGTTAAATAATTTGGCAACACCTGATTGTTACTGTGGCCATGCTCAGGAGGCAGATTACCGACCGCAAAAACAGCGGAGTGCTCGGTGCTTGGCGGCCGCATCAGTGATCAGTGCGTCACCGGATGACAAGTTGATGCGCCCCGCTCCACAGCGAAACGCAACAGGCGCAAATAAAAGACAGAAAACATCAAAGGAGATGAACCGACATGAACGATCGCGTGTTAAATAATTTGGCAACACCTGATTGTTACTGTGGCCATGCTCAGGAGGCAGATTACCAACCGCAAAAACAGCGGAGTGCTCCCTGCTTGGCGGCCACATCAGTGATCAGTGCGTCAGAGGACAAGGTGATGTGCCCCGCTCCCCAGCAGCGAAACACATCAGGCGCAAATAAAAGACAGAAAACATTAAAGGAAATGAACTGACATGAACGATCGCGTGTTAAATTAGTTTTTGAGGTGGCGACACCTGATTGTTACTGTGGCCGTGCTCAGGAGGCAGATCTACCGACCGCAAAAACAGCGGAGCGCTCCCTGCTTGGCAGCCGCATCAGAGATCGGTGCATCGGAGGACAAGGTGATGCGCTCCACAGCAGCGAAACACATCAGGCGCAAATAAAAGACAGAAAACATTAAAGGAAATGAACCGACATGAACGATCGCGTGTCAGTACCG